GAGCATTTACAGCTTCTAGAGGCAGGTTGTTCCACTGATTAATTGTTCTAACTGTCAGGAAATTTCTCCTTAGTTGCAGGTTGCTTCTCTCCTTGCTTAGTTTCCACCCGTTGCTTCTTGTCCTGCCTTCAGGCCCTTTGGAGAATAGCTTGACTCCCTCTTTTTTGGGGTAGCCCCTGAGATATTGGAACACTGCTATCATGTCACCCCTCGTCCTTCTCTTCATTAAACTAGACCTATCCAATTCCAGCAACCATTCTTTATATGTTTTAGCCTCCAGTCTCCTGATCATCTTTGTTGCTCTTCTCTGCACTTTTTTTTCAGAGTCTCAACATCTTTCTTACATTGTGGAGACCAAAACTGTATTCCAAGTGTGGCCTTACCAAGGCATTGTCAAGTAGTATTAACACTTCACGTGATCTTGATTCTATTCCACTGTTAATGCAACCTAGAACTGTGTTGGCTGTTTTTGGCAGCTTGCAGCACATTGCTAGCTCATATTTAAGTGATTGTCCACTAGGACTCCAAGATCCCTCTCACAGTTACTACTATTGAGTCAGGTACCACCTATACATTACTGTAGCTATGCATTTTTTTTCAAATTTGCATTTATTATAATCTCATTCACGAGTTAAGTGGGTCGATTTATAGCTAGAAATGGAGAGAGAAGAATGGATGAAATAAAGTTTATCTAGGCCAGATAGACTTCGTGGAGGTTTGCAAATGACAATTCCTATTATTAGGTTAGGGCAGGGGTAGGCAATCTTGGATCTTTTATGACTTGTGGACTTTAACTCCCAGAATTCCTAAGCCAGGAATAAAAGAGCCAAAGTTTCCTACCCCTTGGTTAGGGGCATATACCAGAGGTGGTGAACTATGGCCCTTTTATGACTTGTGGACATCAACTCCCAGAATTCCTGATCCAGTCATGCTAGCTTAAGAATTCTGGGATTTGAAGTCCACAAGTCATAAAAGGGCCATAGTACCTCACCTCTGGCATATACCATGTTTGAGTTATTCTCATCCCAAGGCACATTTAAAAACAACAACAAAAAAAAAAAATGCCACTGAGTAGGTATAAGGTTATATTTCAGACCTTTACTCTGCTGAGGGATTCTGCTCTCCTTATTTCTAGGCTACAGATTCAAATTGCACAGAACGGATCTGTGGTTTCGCTCACTTCTTTGAGCTAAGCTCCCAAGTTTGCTTCCGAATGTTAACTTTTATTGAGAACATGTTAAAAAAAAAAATACGGTGACATAGAAAAACTTTCCTGTTACATCTTGCTCTTTGGGAGTTTACTTGACAGAGGAGGCCCAGAAACAAAATCAAAGGATACCATAATATATTCCTTTAGGAAAGACCAAGAAAAGCAATCTCTATTTGTCTATGGCAGTGGTTCTCAACCTGTGGGTCGGGACCCTATTTGGGATCGAACGACCATTTCACAGGGGTCGCCAAACAACGCAGTCCGCCATTTTTTCCCCCTTTTCCTTAGCTGTGCTACTCCCTTTTATTCTATTGGCTTTTGAAAGCCAATAGAATAGACTCTCTTAAATAAAGTCTAATTCTATTGGCTTTCAAAAGCCAATAGTAATTGTCCAGGCTGTTTCTGCCCTGCTGAGCCCGCCAAAAGTCCCATTCTGCAAACGGTGCTGCACCAGTTGAGTAGTCCTCGACTTACGACCAGTTGGGGGTCGCAGCATTAAAAAGGTTGAGAACCACTGGTCTATGGAGATTCTCAGGCATCCATGTCTTGGTTGTCCTAAAGATGCTTTTTTCAAGAGGCAACTAGACTTCCTTGCTTTTCTTTGAAGATGATTCACTTCTCATCCAAGAAGCTTCTTCAGCTTTGACTGGATGGTGGGGAATGGAAGGATTTATATTCCTTACAGACAGCTGGTCATTTGCTCTGAATGAGTGAGAACTAAAGAAGCTTCTTGGATGAGAAGCAAAATGTCTTCAAAGAAAAGCCAGAAAATCCAGTTGCCTCTAGAAAAAGCACCTTTGGGACTGAGTCTATACTTTTCTCATCAACAATGTGGTATACATTTTGGGACTTTCCACTTTGTCATTACCTGCTCACCCTCCTACTGTACTGGTTCAGATTTTCTAGATCTTTGCCATCTTGTATCTACCCCTGCTTAGCCTCCCAGCCACGACTTGTTACCTGCTAGTTGGGAAACATCTAAAATTAATGAAGAGATTCTGGAGTTTAGAGTTATTTGAATGGAGATGATAGCATGGGTGTACAAATTAAGAAAACCAGAATAATGCCAGCCATATGAGAAAGGAAAGCCAAGAATTTTTCTCCTGGATCAAATAGTCATCCAACCTGCTGGATGTTCTGATTCCAATCATTACAAAAGCAATAGTCTAGAAGGTTTTATTTAAAAAATATTATATATTGATATAGCAGGGTAAGAAGTTTGGAAGTTGCTCCAGGTGAAATTTAAAGGAGTTTTCTAAGCAAAGTGACTCTAAGTGTCTCTGTAAGGCCCTTTCCACATCACTACTATTTTTGCTGTTATTCCCAGAAACATTCATCCCCATTATTACTGTCCAAACAGAATGCTGTTTGAGGCATGAATGACCTAATAGAGGGTTAAAAAATAATAATAATAAAAGCATCCAAGGAGAGGCAACCCCTTTCTCTATACAACCCCCTCCTCACCAGCAGCCCCCTGGAGGAGAGTCACCCTCGAGCGTGGCCCACATGGAGCAGCACAGCCAAGGACATGGCAGCCAGGCAGCGTAGACAAGACTCTGCCCTCACACCCCATCATGCAGTTGATGCTGCAGGGCACAGGCAGAGGGTGTGGCCATCATAGTGCTGCTGGGCTGCCTATGTGATCTGTGGCAGGCCCTGGAGTTGGTGCATGGTCCTGTGGGCAGGCAGGATGGGGGATGGGGGGCAGAGTGGGGGTAGGAAGGGGGGTGAAGTGGGGGCTGGACAGTTTTTGGGCACTCGGTCTCTAAAAGGTTCGCCATCACTGTTTTACATGAATTTGCACTAAGCAGAAAGAGAGTACCTGTTCTCTCTTTTTTTTTCCAGCCACAGTTCTGACAATCTTGCCATTTTAACCCATTGGTTAAAGGGAAACGGTAGTTTAAAATGCCAGTATGATATCACAAGTTGCCTGCCTGTCCCTGTCACTAAGACATGAGTGTGCTTTTTTTTATTAAAAGTTTTAGAAATTTTTTACAATATATAACCCAAAACCCTCCCACCCCTCCCACCTTCCCCCACTTCCCAGAGCTGATTACAGGGTTACAAATAAGCAATCATAATCTAACTTTACCCAACTCTACTAACAATCAAATCCATAACATACTTTAACTCTTTTCAAAATAAATATTAACGAATTAAAAACCAATAATAATAATATAATTAAACAATAATGCTAAAAATAATATAAATTCAATCATATTAAACTATTAAAAATAATCTAAAATTTACTCATAAGCTAAATAATACTTTTTAGTCTCATATTTATTCTGAATATAATCTATCCATCTTCTCCAAACCAAAATATATCTTTCTTGTGAATAATCCTTCAAATAAGCGGAAATTTTTGCCATTTCTACTAAATTAGACACCTTAAGTATCCATTCTTCCATAGTAGGCACTGAATCTGTGCTTTTCACTTAAGCCAGGCTAGGTTTTGTAAGCGATGTGTAGACCTTGTCAAGGGGCAATTAAGTAGCTCTACATTTACAAAGGTGCTTTTTCAAAAGGCAACTGGACTTTGTTTTTCCTTGAAGACATGTCACTTCCCATCCAAGAAGCTTCTGCAGATTTGACTGAATAAGAGAAGATAACCTTTATTTTTTTTTACTCTGGGCACAACGGCACACATCAAAAATGAAATTTAGTTGCCCAGTCTCAAAGTGAAACACATACATGACACATACCTAAACATACTATATACAACATATGTATAGACATATCCGTAACAAATAAATATTAAATGCTGTCCATCTTGAATATATAATGGAAGAAGGAAGCTTGAATGGTGAAAGATGGGAGGATTTACATTGTGTTTGCCACAAAATCCTTTCAGCAGTTCCGAGAAGACTCCACGTCCATTTTCACTAGGCAGGTGATCCTGAGGTCACAGATAAACCTCCAAATGGCCTCAATGACTCTCAGAAAGAGTGCTAATGACCAGGTGACTGCAAAGAATATAAATCTGAACTGAAGATGCTTCTTGGATGAGAAGCAAAATGCCCTCAAGGAAAAACAAAGTTCAATTGCCTTTTGAAAAAAGCACCCTTGGGACAACCATGACCTGGATGACTGAGAATCTCCATAGATGCCTAATTGCATTAGCTCTTGCAAACAAGGTAGAAAACCTGATTGCAGTGAGTGTTGTGAGTCTGTGCCAGCCAGTGGACCTGGCAGCTGAGTCTGGGGAATCAGAGGAGGAGGAGGAGGAAGAGGGTTTGGAGAGCCATCAGAATCGGAGGGAGGCTCTGATAAGTTACAAGACTCACAATCTGATGAAGAGCCTGGCCCCTCCAATCGTGGTCAGGATGAGGCACAGCTGTATGGGGAAGATGAGTTAGACTCTGAGGGCTCACAGCTGGAGGTCATTAGAGACGCTCGTAAACGAAGGCAGTTAACTAGAGCAGGTCAGAGGGAGTCAATACAGCAACTCCAAGGGAGGAGGAGAAGGCATTGAGGAGCCACGCCTTGGGACTGCTTAATAAAAAGGGAAGGTGTGGGCAGTGCTGGTTGCTGAAGGCAACCGTTGCAAAATACTTCATGGGATCATGTTCTGTTGGTATTTCCAGTGACTAATTCCTTGTTTTGCATTGTGTTTTGTGTGGACAATTTCCTCCATTTGGATTGTGTTTTGTTGCTTTCGTTTTTGGACCATTTGGCAGGTTTGTTACCAATATTAAAAGGTTTTTTGTTTTCTTCTGAGTCTCTAGACTATTTCTCAAAAGGGGTTTTGTCCTTGTGCATTTAACAAGGATGGCTATAGGCTGGGACAGAACAGTGAGGTCCTGCTTATTGAAATAGCTTCTACTACTTTTGACAGCATTCTCACATTCTTTAAAGATTGAAACATCCTGAGTTCAGAACTGCTGGAAAAAAAATGTATCCTGAAATTTACATTTCCCCAAAGGGTAAGCAAAAATATCTACAGTGTTCCTTGTTATATTTACCTAGGTTTTATTTTGTTATTACTTTTGACTTGTACATCCAGCTGTAGTTTTGAATCTAAACCTTGTGTGTGAAGTGTTTTCAAACTCTGCCATGGCCGGGAGGAAGCACTTGATGTTGCTTGCCTTGATTCAGCTGTCAGAAAACAATTTAATGAAATTCAGGGAAATGTCAGTCACCCATATACATCAGAGGTGTTATTCGCTTAAAACGTAGCTTTTTTGCTCCCGTTCACAGCAATGGTGTTTTTTTTAGCTTTGGTGAAAACTAGCCAAGGACATTAGAAATGAAAGCATCGGACAACTCTTAAACCATTAATAGAGACAAACTCAGCTCATGAGAGTAGCTATTTTAAATCCATCAAGAGATGAATGCCTTCAGTTCTGCTTCCAAATATAAATTGCATACATTGTTGTTATTAGTTGCGAAGTCATGTCCGACCCATCGCAAACCCATAGACAACGTTCCTCCAGGCCTTCCTGTCCTCTACCATCTTCTGGAGTCCATTTAAGCTCACACCTACTGCTTCAGTGACTCCATCCAGCCATCTCATTCTCTGTCTCCCCTTCTTCTCTTGCCCTCAATCTTTCCCAGCATTAGGCTCTTCTCCAGTGAGTCCTTCCTTCTCATTAGGTGGCCAAAGTACTTGAGTTTCAACTTCAGGATCTGGCCTTCTAAAGAGCAGTCGGGGTTGATCTCCTCTAGGACTGACCAGTTTGATCGCCTTGCAGTCCAGGGGTCTCGCAATATCCTGACTTTAAATTTGGGAGACCACAGCTTTATACATACTGAATGGTTAAAGATGATAAAGGCTGTGTTTTTTTTTTTTTTTTTTTTTGCCCTGTTAACAAAGCCATTGTGGTCCTACTTACAGTGAGTCAATCAAATTAAACAAAAATTCTTTAGAAGCTTCGTTTCTTACAGAGATAGCTGTAAAACAAAACAAAACTAAACAAGTTGCCCCCCCCATACGTTCTTCAAATTATCTATGCAAAAGTTGTTCCTAGGCTATATCACTCAGAATACCTTCATAAGACCGACTCTGTAAACAGCTAAGTAGATAATAAAGTAATGGTGATTTTTAATTGTCCAGCTCTTAATAGTTATATATTGAACACGAGTGTGTGTGTGTGTGTGTGTGTGTGTGTGTGTGTAGAAAAAAAATAGGAGCTTTTGAGAAATCTTCAGAAATATTAAGGGAAATGGGGAAAAATTCCTTATACCAGCTAAGAAATGGTTATGTTTATCAGAGCATAACCTTCCTTCCTTCCTTCCTTCCTTCCTTCCTTCCTTCCTTCCTTCCTTCCTTCCTTCCTTCCTTCCTTCCATACAGTGGTTAAAATGCAGCATTGCAGGCTAATTCTGCCCATAGCCAGGAGTTTGATCCTGACCAGCTCAAGGTTGACTCAGTCTTCCATCCTTCTGAGGTCAGTAAAATGAGGACATGGATTGTTGAGGACAATATATAGGGTCACATTCTTGAACAGCGGGTTGGACTAGAAGACCGCCAACGTCCCTTCCAGCTCTATTCTGATTGAGTAAAATACTCAGGGGCTAGAGATAGCAATGATAATCCACTCCAACGAGGTTCTTCAGTGTCATGCCAAGCTCTACCATGCCAGAACAGCAAGTGGAAAAGAAAGAGCTACTTATTTCTTTGTTTCTTTAACGTTAGATTTTTCCAATTATGTTAAAGTTGGGGAGCAGGCAGTTCCTACAACTGGTTCAACATAACTTTCTGCTGAATGACTGAGGAAATTCTGGATTGTCTTCTCCTCAATCCAGTATCTCTGGCTTTAAAAATGGGGTAGAGGTAGACATAGGTCAGGGGTAGGCAACTTTGGCTCTTTTATGACTCGTGGACTTCAACTCTCAATCCCATTGGGCAGATAGTTCGTCCCTCTCTCTCTCCCTCCGTCCCTCCTTCTCTCTCTCTCTTTCTGACCTCTGCCTCTGCCTATGTCAGGGGTAGGCAACCTTGGCTCTTTTATGACTCGTGGACTTCAACTCCCAGAATTCCTGAGCCAGCATGGCTCAGCTTGGAAACCTCTTCCTTCCCCTCAGCATGGCTGGCTCGGGAATTCTGGGAGTTGAAGTCCACGAGTCATAAAAGAGCCCAGGTTGCCTACCCCTGATATAGGCAGATGCAGAGGTCAGAAAGAGATAGAGAGAGAGAGGGACGGAGGGAGAGGGAGAGGGACAAACTGTCTGCCCAATGGGATTGACCCACCCCACTCAATCAAGAAGAAAGGGCCTACTGCAGATCCCATCAGTCATGGAATTTCAGCTGGGGAGCGTCTAGGAGAAGAGCCGTTTCTGTTATGGCC